ATGTGGAATACGGGCAACAGCCCACAATGCGCAAAAAACCGTATTTGTTATCAAAAACATCTTTCCCAGCAGCTTTCAAAACCTAAGATTTGAATTCAGTTAAAAGATAAACATACCATTTTCTAGCAAAAGGAGTAACCAATAACACATCCAAAAAAAAAAAAGTTCAATCCTAAGGCAAGTAAGCATGTCTAAGGTCTGTGCAGCGTCTTGTAGATTTTAGCCATGTTTTCCGTAGCTTAATTTTGTGAATTAAACTTCGGTAATCTCTATTATATATAATATAATATAATAATATTTTACCATCGGGAATGAATTTTAATTATCTTTCATGATGCATATTTTCAGTATAATAGAACGTAGCGCGTCTTCTGTGCTAATAACTTAGCAATAAACCTACAGACCTACAGCTCCAGTGTCTTTTAATATACACTCTTAGACTAAAAAAAAAAAAAAAAAAACCTGCGCACCACAACGCACCGAGAAGATATAAAAGCAAATTGGACACAAATTGATATGCATACAGGTTTCGGAGGAAATTGATATGCATACAGGTTTCGGAGGAAAATGCAAAGTTTTACGTTTTGGCTGCCAACGAATGAACGGTTGTCGCTACAGTGCATTTAATCTGCGCAACTGGCAGGATATTTAAGAGGAGAAATTACGATTCCATGCCATAAATTCTTCACAAATTTCATTGCGTGTACTCTGGTAGACAGTAACTATGCGTCGCATACAGGTGCGCGAACGATATGCGCAAATGTCAGAATTTGGGAGAGGTCGTGTAGTTGGGCCAAAGAAGCCGGTTGGTCTTATCGGCGAATATCTCGACATTTGAGCAGGAGCGATGCCACTATTAGACAATATTGGCAGGAATGCGTGAACCATGGCCGCACACAGTGTCAAGAAGGAAGCGGCAGGCCTAGAGAAACGACAGAACGTGAAGACCGAGCAATCGCCAGAGCGACATTCACAGCCTCAGATGCATCATTATCATCCATTGTACGTGCAACTAGTGCTTCAGTGACCGCAAGGACCATTCATAGATGGCTCACAGAAAGGGGGCTGAGGTCACGGCGCCCCTTGCGCCGACTACCATTGACCTCTGTATAAAGTCCAGCCCGTTTGCAATGGTGTCGGGCTCATTCGCACCGGAATGTCACTGACTGGAGTAGAATAGTCTTCAGTGATGAGTCCCGCTTTGAACTGAGCCCCGATGACCAGCGAAGGCGAGTCTGGAGACGCCCAGGACAGGGGTGTGATACCAACCTGACTGTCTTCCGGTAGACAGGCCGACAACCAGGAATGATGGTCTGGGCTGCCATCTCATTTCATAGTAGGACCCCTTTGGTTGTCATCCGTCGCCACCTTACAGCACAGCGGTACGCCGACGAAGTTCTAAGGTCCGTTGTGTTGCCCTTCATGTCACGCCACCCTGGGCTTACATTTCAGCAAGATAATGCCCGCCCCACCCTGCGCATGTTTCTACTGCTTGCCGAAGGCCAGCAAGGTGACCGGATCTCTCTCCTATTGAGCCCGCCCCACCCTGCGCATGTTTCTACTGCTTGCCGAAGGCCAGCAAGGTCACCGGATCTCTCTCCTATTGAGCACGTTTGGAGCATTATGGGCAGGGCCCTCCAACCAGCTCGGGATGTTGACGATCTAATGCCCCATTTGGTAAGAAATGGGCACGATATCCCTCAGAAGAACATCCGCAACTTCTATTAATCGATGCCTAGCCGAATAACTGCTTGCATAAGGGCCAGAGGTGGACAAACGCGTTACTGACTTTTTCACTTTGTGAAGCTGTATCACTTCAATAAATCATCCAATTTTTCTCAAAATGTAATCATTTGTTTTTCTGTACATATACATCACTTCTACCAATTTTCGTCCCATTCGGATAACTCCTTCTTCGTGCGTCTTTTTTTTTTTTTTTTTTTTTTTGTCTGAGTGTATTTTCAATAATGTTCTCAAAACTACCATTATGCCCGTTCTTTGGAAATAGGAAAGAAAATCCATACATTTTAGGAAACTTACTTAAACATGCGGGAGTTGGGTGTGACCATGCTCCCGTTGTACGGCAAACAGACTCAGTAGAACCTTGTAGTCTGAAGCCATCCTTGCAAGAATATTTGATAATGCTTCCAAACATTACTTTTACAGGTGCACGATAGAGTCCATTTTGTGGTATAAGTGGAAGTTCACACGAATTTTCTGAAGGAAAATTAATCGCAGTTCAGTTATCTTGCTTAGGGTAAAAACGCGTCTTACTATAGAAACATAGATAGGTTATTAATAGCCGTATAGTAAGCATAAAATAAGAACTGTTGTACGTACCACATCCTCTGTGCTAATAACTTAGCAGTAAACTTACAGCGCCAGTGTTATTTAATAATATTTTCAATAATGTTCTCTAAACCGCCATTACCTCCGCTCTTTGGAAACAGGAAAGAAAATCGCTACATTTTAGGAAACTTACTTAAACATGCAGGAGTTGGGTGTGACCATGTTCCCGTTGTACGGCATACAGACTCCGTAGAACCTTGTAGTCTGAAGCCATCCTTGCAGGAATATTTGATAATCTTGCTATTTATCAAATATTTTGTTGTTATCAAATAAAGTAGAGTTTGGAATTTGATAAATTCCAAACTTAAACGCGTCTTAAAACGCGTCTTACTATAGAAATATAGATAAATTATTAATAACCTTATAGCATGAAATAAGAACTGGTGGTTGTATAGATAACAGTTCAGCTGTTAACAATATGTTATAAGAAAAATTACAAATCCAATGCTCACTAAGAAAAAGGATGGGACCTTTACCAAATATCTGATTTATCTCTGCTCAGTCCTGTGATGGTAAAAAGAAACTTAATGAAAACAAAATGGAAAATTTTAACCAAATTATTACACGATTCACAGGAAATTAATATAAATTTTAATGGTTAATCACCAATATATTAATGAAATAAAGTCTGAAAACGTCGTCTTTTTAAAAATATTAGAACCCACAATTATAATCCTCACGAAAGCATACAGTGTAACACGTTCTAAGATAACAAATTTAAATTTGAACTTTAAGCGTCATATTTTAATTTGAAACAAAATTAAGCAAAATAATGACTTATATTGCACCATTTCACTTGCGAAGCAGCAAAACATCAGTTTTTTAAATAATCGATTTTGGATAAATATTGATTTTTGTTTTCAAATAAGATCATATTATTAGAATAGCGATTTTAAATATCAATTCTATTGTACACCGCTTAGATTCATAGCAAGTACTATAGAGAAGAAAAATGTGTCTTTTGTGCAGTACGTGGCAGCGGAAATGGACGAGTATGAAGATTTGCTTGTACAATTATGCTAATTAAAAGGGCTGCTCGTGATAAAGAATTTATGTACGCGTTACTCAAATTTATATCAGTGTTTCACTTGTGATCCTCGGCATATAGTCAGGGGACCACAAGTGGTCTTCGAAGCCTTGTGGTCCGTATAGATTTCTATAAAGCTGAAATTCTTAACGTTTAGAAATTGCCGCCATCTATGAGTTTTTCTCCCAAGACTGACATTTTATGAAATTATTAAGCGGTTATTCTGTCTGCAGTGATGCTATATAATTATACTAGATTTCCTGCTCTACGCTTAATAAAAACAACAATAAAAAAAATTCAAAGCGCTATGATTAGGATGCTTCTCACCATCGTTTCTCTGCGCATTTGGCCCCTCAATATCCGTTACCAACGAAAATGAAGAATAATGAACTGCACAACTATGCTTAAAAATTAGTTTCAGTCGGTTTCTACGTCTCTGTGTAAAAAAGGATTTTCGACACCAACTTAAGTAACAACAAACTATATAAACATCTGGCCTGCAGATCGAAAATTCTGCATTTTATAGTCTTTGTGCCAATTAAAATGTGTTAAGTGCTCTGGAAGCAACCATCTTTCCAAGATGATCATTTTGGAAAGTAACCAGTGTTTCTGAGTGAGTAAATGAACATCTTTAACAGCAACCTCTCGAAGGCGACCATTTTCATAAAAGAGCAGAATCATTCCGAACCGTATGATATCCTCTTACAGATATTTCGTTGTACTTAAAATACAATTGCACACTCACTATGTTTCACAGAATTCGGAGCATATGAGACACGTAAAAGCCATAATTTAGCGATTTTTTTATCATTCTATGTTTTAGATGCTTTATTTTCACCATGATAAACGATAACGCACGAGGATATTTTGAAATTGAAACATTTTGTCAAAACTTTATTTCGTACGAGAATATTTTGTACCAGGATGTTTGCGAAGTTGCTCCTTGAGAAGTTTTTTTTTTTTTTTTTTTTTTTTTTTTTTTTTGTCTCTTCCCCATATATCTTGTGTGAAAGTTTCTTCTTTGGAGTAAATTTCTGCACGAGTTTCTCGACCGCGAAATTTTCTCTAGTAACCATATGCCTGAATGTTAATAAATTTCTTTTATCATCTGCTTTTTATTTGTTAGAAACTAAAAAAAATCCTTTTGCTGAATATTATGCTTAATTGGCTAAATTTTTCCCAATTTATGAGAAAATTTTATTAGATCAAATTAAAATGTTATGGTATATTAATCAGAGCATATCGAATCTAAAATTTGAACTTATGACAGAATAGAAAGCTAGAACTTTAGTTACTAGCAGTAATCGAGGAAGGATTAATATTCTCTGAATGAAATGTTTTCATGAAGTCCAGTTTATCTCCGGCTAATTTTTGATATCCATCAATATTTTCTTTAAACTCTGGTGTAGACTAAAGATCTTTGCGTTTCGATAACAATGATAAAATATAAATGAACTTGTGATTTATATGCTGTCTTGTTCCCAAATTGTGATCAACCTAACATGTTATTTAAGCATTCATAGGCGTCAGTCACACGTTTTTTAATTACAAAACTGATTAGTTACGTGCCAAAAAATAACGTCAGCTGAAATTCACATTTTTGGTAACCTTTGAATTTAGTTACCTGATACGCACTGAAGTTCATCTAACCATGTTCCGTCTTTGCACTCAATCCTCTTTTCTTGTCCTCCTGATCCTTTGGGCTTATACCTTCCCTCACATTTCAAAACATACTGTCCATCAGGTACTATGGTACCTGCCGAAATCTATAAATCGGAATTACGTTTTTAACAAGTAAAACAATATTTCAAACATAAATAAAACATTTTAAACATTCAAATCAAATTCCTGTTACATTGCCGGATTATTTATATTACATTATTTATTTGGCTAATTATGCTTCTGAAAGGTCAAATGCGTCACTAAGATTTAATATTATGGATTCATAATCTGTCAACGAATTGAGTTGCAACTTTTAATATTTCTTACGCTAGGTGGCTCAGATGGAAATAACTGCTTCAACCATTAATTATGTTTAGGTAAAATTTATATAGGAGCGCATTCTGTTTTCCGTCCGTAGACGGCCTATTATTTGGAAGCAAAATTCTCTTCCTGTGGGGAGAAAAAGAGAATCGAAAGAGAATGACGCAAATGCTTGATGGAAATATGAGGGAAATATGAGGGATAGAAGTTATGAGCAGGTAGCTTCAGTACGCTTTCGTTTTCCTCTGTAACTTCATGGCGCACGTAAGCGCTCGATTCCGTATATAAAATTTTCACGTACGTCCATTGAATTTACTCTAATTGTATTTATTGTTTAAAATATAAATGTGTGTCTGAAATCCTGAAGTGAATTTTCTGACCTAAGAAGACACCAGAAAAAATTTGAGGCTCCCGTTTTGGATTAGGGTGCCCAAACGCGAAGAAACCTTTTTTTTAACATCAATATTTGTTGCAATATTTGCTGAACATATTTGCTTGACGAGTAAAGATGATTCTTTAAATATATGTATGTATGTACGATACTTCAAATGTATAGCCGAAAATATTAGAACTTGAAAACTAAGATGTTCTTATAAAAGAAGTGGCTTTGTTGTTAGTTTTGTTAACTTGGTGGTTAAAAGATAAGTAAAGATAAAATTGGCTCAGTTAGAAGAATAACTTGAAACAGACAACAATAAGAGCCAAAGTCCTCATTCAACTCCAAGAATATCAGAAAATGATCATCCAGGGATCAATTTAGAACAATTAATCAAACTATTAAAACACTACCCCTCAGGGGCTCAATTTTGTGAGTACGGTTGTGGCAATCCCGAGGTACCTTAGCCGGTCAGAAAATCATGATCTTGCTGAGACGGATGCCATGATCCTGCAGCCCTAGTGATCTAGTCCCCTTTCTTTCTCTCCTCCTCTTAATTCTTTCTGTTTTTTATTTCTCTCCCTTATCTTCTCTCTTGTGGTTTTCCTCTTTTAGAGGCTTGGGCTTGTCATGAGAGGCTACTACGCTCTTGTTTCTAGCTTCAAATGTCTAGAAAACTGCTTACGTTTTTGCTGTGAGTGGTGACCTCAGCATGAGCTTCAAAGATTTGATCTATTCTGCATATAATTATGAACAACTCTCTTACATACAAAAGACATCCAGCCGATTCCCATACCAAAATAAAACTAAAAAAAAGAACATTGACCCAAGAAACAAAGGAATTGAAGATTCCACTGACGGATCAAAAATCGAAGGAAAAGTCGGATGTGCAGAACTCTTTCCAATGCAACAACATCTGGACTCTGAAATAAAATGGAAAGGGTGCATAAACAACTACAAAAGCATACATTAAGCAGAATTTTCGGCAATAAAAGCTGCCATCAACATTGTGTCAAACTATTTCTCCAAAATATCCATTAACTCAGACAGGCAATCTCCTAAAACAAGAGTGTGACTTTTGATGCGTTAAGATGAGAATTTTTTAACTGCTTGACTAATAATGTTGGGTGAAAAGCCCATGTCAGTAGCTACTGCTTTTAAATAATTTAGTTCTTGATCGATAGCTACTGCTTTTAAATAATTTAATTCTTGATCGATAGCTACTGCTTTTAAATAATTTAGTTCTTGATCGATAGCTACTGCTTTTAAATAATTTAGCCCTCTAGTTTACTAGGCTCTTGATTTAACTAGGCTCTTGATCAAGAGCTACATTATTTAAAAAGCAGTACCTATTGAAGGGGCTTGTCACTTAACATTTTTAACCAAGCATTTTTCTCCCTTAAAGAATAATGTCTGATATACCTGCCGCTTTTACTTGGAAAGGCTTTGAAACTTACTGCCTCAAAGAAGGAACAAAGTTTGCCACCTGAATACCTAAAGAAAATGAACAAATTGATGGGATCTATAGGATTCTGATACCTGTTTTATCAAAGCTGTCTCTTGAAGATTCTACAAAAGTGTTTCAAGAATACTGGAGATGTACAGAAAATAAATTGTACATATACAAGAAGCATGAAGTATACGTCTTTTGAACTGCGTAACGGTACGAAAATAAATAAAATGAAGACTTGAAAATAAATGAAATATTGAACGAAGAGTATTTAAATCAGTTAAAGCAAGAACGTGATGACATAAGATATGATTCTAAAATAAACATCTCGAAATTATAAGAAGCAAATAGGAAGCAATTGAGCAAACAGAGAAAGAAGCTTAATCTCTTTAAGATAAATGATTTAATCGCTAATCTGGGCACCCAGTACGGAGCAAAATTTAGAACTGAGACAAAATTTTACAGTCCTTATAAAGGTACAACTGGACTTATAAAGGTACCCAGCCATCGGTATGATTTTGAGAAAATCAGGTGGCATTGCGGACGAAACAAGACATCACCACGATTGAGTGCTTGAAGCCTTGATCTACGAGTTAGGACGACGTAGATTTACATTTCTTTTTGTTCCAATTGTTTGAGATACTGTAAATCTAGCCTGATGTCGTTTCTATGTTTCGAAGTTGAAATGGTGTCAGAATGCCGACTCTGTGAAGCGCATTCCTTTCTCCCTCTGTACGTGTTTCATCGCATTCTCAAAGCAAACAATCAGTGCTTGAATGTTCTAATCCAGGGGTGAACAGACTTTTCCAGGGTACGGGCTACTTCTAATTTTTTTAAGGTGTTGCGGTACATCCAGTGTCGTAGGTGTGGTGAGCTAAAGAAAACATCTACAATTTTTATTTTAACTTAATATTAAATGGGGAATATGTACTTGCCTGCCTAACCCTACCTAGATAACTTACTCTTTTAAAACCGTGTTTAAAGCAAAATTCAAGATACAAACATAATAATAATAATAACCAAAAATATAATAATTTCAAATGATGCATTTTTTTCAAGCAATTCAAAGTGTATTAAAAAGTAAATTATGTCATCTAAAGTTAGTTCTCGTAGTTATAGTTAGTAGAAAACGTAGTCTGCATACTGTCCCCAATCTTGAATATCTCGGTATATAATTACTATCTGCTAATCTTGCATTGGATTCTAAGTGGTCATCTGTGAGATGGAAACGCTATGTTGTCTTAATCCCCCCGGGGGTCGACGCAGAGAACTCTGCGAAGCTACTGGCTAGAATCTGTACCTAGGCAGTCTCGGGGTATACAATTTATGAACTTGGTGGTTCTGAAGGCTCTGGGAAAGGTCACTTATTGGCCGGCCTCGGAGGAGGTTGAACCTCTAACTCTGGTTCTAAGGAGTGGGGGGACCTGTAGTGCGATCTTAAGTGAGTTGCGGAACGGGGAATGCCCAAATTGTTGTTGTTGTTAATTATATTCATAGTTCAAAATGTGGATTCACACATGTGAGTAGAGCCAAAGGATGATATTAATTGAAATGCAACTTTTTTTTTAATTAGGATACTTTACTTCGTCCATTAGATTTCAAAAGTTAGTCTTAGGTTCTCAGCTATGTGGTTTTTAATATTATGTCATATTAAAGGAGAAAAACTTAGTTTTCCTCAAGAGATAAAGAGAAAATATAATTTATATTTTCGATTATTTTTATATTTTCAGTTATTTCTTCTACATCAACATTGCCAAATGTGTAACACATGAATGTAAAACTGGTTCTTGTCTTGTAAATTCTCGAAAACGTCTCTCAGATTCGGAGTGAAATTTTATTATTTCATCATTGTATTTCTCTTTGTTTAATGCACCTCTTTTTAAACAACTCGTCAGAAATATTTCCGAAATTCTTTAGACCATTCTTCATCAGCTGGGAAGATAGTAGCTTTAACTTGTTTATGAAAGTATTAACAAATTCAGTGAATTCTACAGTTGTTTAAGAATTTCCTTGCGATTGTAAGTTCAATTCATTAAGACAGCTTGTTATAGCAACAACAAAACTAAATCTATCAACCAAAAGTCATCACTAAGTTCAACGTACGCTTTATCATTTGATTCCAAAAAATCTTTTACCTCTTGTAGTAAGTCCCTGAATCTTGGTAAAATATAGTCCTACTTAACCAACGAACATCTGCATGATATAACAATTGCCTGTAATCAGATTTGTTTTCTTCTTAGTTGGGCCCGAAACATTCTTCTCCGAAGAGCTTTTCCTCGAATTGAGTTCACAATGCAGATTCCCATAACATGACGTATACTTGGAATTTTACAACAGAAAGCCTGTTGTTGAATAATGCAATGATAAGAGAGGAATTGCGCTATGCCTTCCTTTCTGATATACACTGAAGTGACAAAAGTCATGGGATAGCAATATGCAAATATACAGATGGCAGTAGTATCGCAAAGAAAATGTATAAATGCGAAGTGCTTTGGCAGGGCTTTCATTTGTGTTCAAGTTATTCATGTGAAGAGGGCTTTGACGTGATTATGGCCGCACGACGAGAATTAACAGACTTTGAATGCGGAATGGTAGTTGGAGCTAGACGCATGGGTCATTCCATTTCGGATATCGTTAAAGAATTCAACATTCCGAGATCCACAGTGTCAAGAGTGTGCCGAGAGCATCTAATTTCAGGCATAACATCCCATCATGGACAGCGCAGTGGCCGACCACCTGCACTTAACGATCGAGACCAGCGACGTCTGCGTAGAGTTGTCAGTGTTCACAGACAAGCAACACTGCGTCAAATAACCGCAGAAATCAATGTGGGACGTACGAGGGACGTGTCCGATAGGACAGTGCGGCGTAATTTGTCTTCCTTGGGCTATGCCAGCAGAAGACCGACTCGAGTGCCTTTACTGACAGCACGACATCGCCTGCAGCGACTCTCATGG